AGGACGCCAGATACTTCTCAGCGGGACTTGAGGGCGCAGCACGCCTTGTACGTATGTAATGCCCATTATACGCGGCCGCATAGGATTTTTGATGGCATCCCTTTAATTCGCACATGCAGCGCCAGAAGATGATGTTCCGGCAACTGTGTGCGAGACGGCAGACTTATAACGCTACGCGCGACAGTTTGGATGCGTTGTATGCGGGAGATAGTGGAATGCCTTCGAAATTGGGGCCGTGAACTCTACATTGCGAGGCTTTGAAAGGCAGATTGCTGCTCCGCAGGCCGCAGGACTCCTTGGTCTTGGGTGCTTAACGAAGCACTTGATAAATTCACCAGAGTGCGCTCCATCTGCCGTCAAGAAGCGCGTCTCTATGATACAGCGCTAGCTGACAGATATGGAGGGAAGCATAGTGGAGTGAGGAAGATGTGACCGAAGACGGTGCCTCATGCTCGGCAACATCAGTACGGCACGGCGCTCTCGAGAGCCATCAAACGGGGACTTCAAGCCCTTTGAGCGGACAGAGAAGTCTATGCTTGCAAATTTCTCAGCATCAGAGCGACTAATTCTCCAAACCGGCCCAGCCTAGGAGAGAAAAACTTAGCCAAGTTAGCCTCTTCCATTCCGTGTGCATTCGGGTGAAAGAATCCGAGGATGCTGACATTTTCAAGACAGGCCTGATCAGTGGTTTTGTCCGCCTCAAAGACCAGCCAATAACCCGCCTTATGTCAATGCATGCATACCGTCTTCGCTAAGATACTATTCGAATGGCCTTGTCCCCGTGACACCCATCCGTCCGACCGGATCGATGCTGTGCGACCCGTTCCCAACCGGACGGGGGCCCCGTGACGCGTGAGATCTTTGGGCACAAAGTGAGTTTACACTCAGGCCGTCGTCTCCGTTAGATGATCCTACATCACTTTCGGGAGAATATTGTGGGATGTCTATCGTATCAACTTCTCTAATCAGTATGGAGCAACCTCTGTGAGCGTGAGTTTGGTATATTTGCAAACCGCCCACGGCTTCGCCGATATAACCCCCTCCCCCCTCGGTGCGTCTGTCCAAGCCTGTTCTTCCCTGGTACTATCAACTTGCCTGTTTTGCATCATGTCCAATGCGTCCGGGCCCATAGACAACCCCATTATTATCAATGCCGTGCCTGAGTATGGCGGGACCCTCATCGGCGCGATTGTTTCCGCAGCATTATGGGGTATCTCCTGCATGCAAATGCTAGTCCATCCTGACGCTTTTTCTCGCTGCCCATCTAACTAGTCGTTTGTATAGATTCATGTATTTTCTGAAGTACGTCCGGCCGTTCTTGTGAGGTACATCACTCGACCGTATCAACCCAGCTACGACTCCGATCATTGGTCGCTCAAGCTCTTGGTACGAGCCATTTCTCTGTCCCACGCCGCTATCCTAAAGCATCGTACAAGGTCGTTTACGTATGGGTAGCTGATACCTTGGTGGAGGCTCTCGGATTTGCTGGCAGTAGGTGTATATCCGCGAGCTACTCTGCAGTGCCGTCCTGAATAATATTTCTCCGCTGCCGCCTTTCAGTATTCGACCAGCTAATCATTCGCTGGGGTTCCATCATCGCATTTGACACCATCATGCGGTGAGATACCTCATGCCTTACCCCTTGGAGGATTGCTGACCTGTTTCTCCTTGTAGAACTTTAGTGGTATGTGTTGCGCTACTTCGCCGCTTCGGCTTAGTAACCAGGACTGCTGACCAAGTATCTGTGACGTGAATGAAGATTCGCAGCACTCTAACGGTAGGCGTCCTTCTCGCCACTGCGAGGCAATTGTTGATGTCTGGAACAGCCGTTCGTATCGATTCCTGTACAAATGTTCTTCCTTCGTAGGATTCATCAATGTGAGTGTCTGAGTCAGCAGTAATCCTACCCTTTATCTAATGATATCTTAGTCTCCCAGAGTCGGGGGTGGATTATGCGTGCCACTATGATATTTATGGTGCGTGGAGACTATTATTTGACCTATAGAAGCAAGTAGTACATGCTCAACGGCTATGCGTAAGGCTATGTTGTCCCTTTCGCAGCTGCGTAGGTGCTCCGTTCTTGGCAGTCATTGGTCATCCGTTCTAACATTCAGATGCGTCCAGCTCTGATTACTGGTAAGCTACCGCCATGGCACATTCCATGAGCAACAAGTAACTCCCTGTTTTTAGGAGTGTGGACTGTATGGATTCTGTGAGCATCATTCTTGCTTCTCAAATTTTCGTTTTCTTTTTAGCCTTACGTCAATGGGCTGTGTAGAGATTCACGACAAGGTGCTGCAGCGACTCTGGCGTCACAAAGAATAGTTGTACGTGAGCTAATCAGTGGATGGGCTGAAGGGCTCACGAAACTATTCGCAGACCGTCGAAATTATAAGTCGGGCTATCCCCGCCTTTGTCGACATCTTCATCGCTCTGTGGATGACATTTTTACTCTGGCGCAGTAAAGAGCGCGCGCGAGTCTTCAGGAGGTGCGTAATAAGCAAGCAATAAACGACTGTAAATATTGCAACGGTCACTGACCCTCCTTAACAGATCGAATCGGCTCATACTGCGCTTAATGCTATTGACAATCAATGCTGGTATCTGGACAGCCGTTCTTTCAATCATCGACCTAAGCTTGGTACGCTTGTTGGTGTACAATTTCACGGGGATGCTCATACAGCGGGCCAGATTGCGTGGAACCCCGGTAAACTTATATTCGACGCCTTCGAATTTCCGCTTGCCTCCCTTTACCTTAACATGCTCCTTGCCAGCCTGAATGCAAGGCGATTCCTCAGGCGGAGCGGAGGGAGTGTCGGAGAAGTAAGGCTTACGGCTCTTGAGCTGGACGCGAGATCACGTCAATCTACGGGCCTCTCTTTCCCTCTGACGAGCGACAGCGCTGCGCTTGGCAGATGCGAGGTGAGTATCAGCCTGTAGCTGTGCGAGTCAATAGTGCCAGCTGACAGTGCTATCCTTTCAGGATTCTGCTCTTGCTATCCGCATAGACAAATCTATGACTACACACAGTGACAGTGATCTAGAACGTAATGCCAAAAATTAGCTTCCGGACTTTTATAGACTACGAATACTTCCACGATTGTATTGGAGATCTTGTACGATGCTTTTAGCGCACAGAGATGCGAATATATGAGCTTAGAAGCATGGAAGAACCTCACAAAATGATATTAGTCACATAAACATGTTGTATTCATTAAGCTAGCACAAATGCCCTACGCAGCGCAGTACACATAAAAGGATGAAGGAGAAAGGCGAGTTAGCCAGATGTTCGGCATCCGCCTCTCAGGCCGCGCCCATAATTAGCAAAGAAGGATGGAACAGAGAACTTAAAACGCCGAGTAACTGCACGCGATCCGCAACACCGATTGCTAGCGTCATCAAATGCTCGCTCAATATCAGCCTCTTCTACAAATTCCACTCTGATTACCTGCTCCTAGGTAAAGGCGTTGAAAAGCTCTGGTCACGAGGCTACGCCGGGTTGAAGTAGTTGTCCGACGCGTTTCAGAACGTGAGGCGTTCCTCCCGGAGGGAATGCTGAGCGGAATTGCGAGCGGGCGCATGAAACGCTGGGGAGGCTGTAACGGCGGAACGGCATACTTGGACAAGCAAGTACGACCCTTGCGTGGTCGATTATCATCCTCTGGCTCAAGCGTCGTCTGAATCTATATTGCGCAACAGCAGTCCATCTAAGCTCACTATAGTGTGCTCTTCACGACCTCCCTGTCGACACTCATCTCCAGCTGTCCGTTGCCAGCGACGTCGATACAGTCATGTTTCCGCACGCTCAGACAAATTAGCACGCGATTCAGGCTTGTCAGCACACAAGCACATATCGTCTCTGCTTCCCTGTTCGCCGCAGATCCAATGAGATAGCGCGGAAGTCGACGGCGGTGTACTCAGCGTGCTGAATGGAACGACAGCTACTGTGTCTCTTCCCTGCTCTAGAGCTAGTCGCGCGCGTTCAGCCTGACGCACACCCATTTTCGTCAGCACCGCAAAAAAAGGAGGAAAACAAAGAGTTTACAGTGCGGGGAGCGTATCCGTGTACACTGGTCACCTTGCATTCAGAACGCAGCGGGCGCCGTGGTGCAGAGGAGCAGGACGGAGTGATGAAGCGCAGAACGGCGGACGAAAGAGTGTGCCCAAACGTCCGCACAGCCTGTATATGTGTTGTTCAGCTGGGTCGATTGGTCGCACATTTTGTGGAGTTGCCGCAGCTCAGCAATCTCGAAATGCAGAGTGTTTCGCCCGCGGCTCGCTCGAGAGAACCGATGGAGCTGTTCGAGCGCAATCTCTTGCGGGGGAGCCCAAAAAAGTACCCAAGGCGTGATACCCATTTTGTACAGCGATGCGCGACGACTCTCCGTGTGACAGTAGTTAGTCGCGAACTGCACGGGAATTAAGAAGCTCTTCAACTGAGCTTACACACTAAAATGTGACATTACTGTATGCTTCTTGCGCTGTATATTTAAACAGCAGGTTGCAGCTCTGTCGTGCGAAACCCTCGAGGTCTGGATGCCCAGCCCGTGCACTGTTCCCGTTGCTTCGCCACGCGCCCTAAACGTGACTGCATGGGCATGTACGCGGTAGCAAAATAGAGCGACACGCTGCTATACTCCAAAGAGAGCTCGCCTCTTTGTTTTCAGAGTGTTACCTGGTCAACGGCGCACGTTGGGAGCAACTTGCTCTCAAGTTAAAATTGGAATATTGAAGCCCGAAGATGCCGCGCATTGCCGGGAGGTGTAGGCGCCCAATCTAATTGCCCGGAGCCGCCGGTAGTACAGTGACGACCTAAAGTATTGCAACAGACTACAGAGGGGTGTTAAGATTCCTCAATATCTCTGTGAATATTACAGATGGCTAGACACATTGTATATGGTTTCCAAACTGGACAGCTAGCTGTATTTTCTCAAGGTATTGCATTGTAGCAGAAGGTGTATGCTGGAAGAGTATATCAAAAATAGCTGAAAATATGCGTATTTATCATATAATTTGTAGTATAATACAGACTGTAGAATAAAATTGACTCTGCACATATTAAAATGGAGCTAATTGTACAGTATGTGTACAAATATAATGATGTGATTAGGCATCTATCTGAATGAACTGTAGGGCATATCACATTGGCTTGTTTCTCTTATAGCAGTTTGCACATATCTAACTCCACAATGTGGAGAGGAAAGTTTCCCAAAATCTGTTTACAGTATGTACTTTACTAGGAGAGAGATATAGTAGCAAA